GTTCTCTTCTGTTTTCAAATTTAATTTAGCTTTAATTTTTTGGGGGTAGTCTCTTTTATAATAATAAGATTTCCTCACTAGATGGATACACTTTCTCTTTCCATTTTCCTCCCGTTCTGGAGCTGTCCCAACGTCAGCAGCTTCAATGGCTGCGCTTCTGTCGCCAGCAAAAAAAAGATTCTCCTGAATCAATCAGGGACTTTGCAGTGTCCCTGAGGTCAGCAGGACGTACTCTTCCCTGTCACCGTCTCTTCATATTGACTTGGAGCTCCAAGATCACAAGTCGTGTCGTTGCGACGTCAGGTCCTCCTTCATTAGCTGGTTGGTTTCATATAGTGTGCTGGATGGGATGGAAGTTAAAATGTTGTTCACAGCAGTTAGTAGATCTTTCATTCCTTTGCTATGCACTTTGTGAATGGCAGGCAGTCTTTTTTTTTCTTTGATGTGGTTTTCAATCTTTTCTTTCAGCATTTTCGCTAGATCACTTAGCTCTACACTTTCGGGTTGTTGCACAGGAGGATCTTCATCCTGTATGTTGGTTTCTTCCACTGGTTGGTCAATTTGTTCAGGTGTTGGAAGAATTTCTTCTGTCTGTTCACCATTACTTGTTTTCTTTTTAGGCAATGTTTCTAGATGTTGCATTTCCCTATCTGTAAAAACTTTATTATGGATAATGAAACATCTTTAATCCATTAATTGTTGTTTGTCACTTTCAAGATGCTTTTCCTTCCACAGTTGCATCATTCTTTTTTTAAATCTCCAGGCTGTTGGTTCTGCCTGATGATTTGATGATTTCTTGATTTTCTTTGGTTGTCCAAGTTTTGTGCTTTTGTTCCAGTCACTTTACAGTTGTATGCCCCGGTTCCCCAGTAGTAACAACTGAGCCCTGTAGCCCATTTTTTGACAGATGTCCAGGACCATAGTATCTGATGCAGCCCTTGTTGACCCAGGCGACAACCGATCCGGTGTGGAATTTCATTGTTTTCTTCTTATCATTGGTGATGGTAGGTGCCTGCATTGGTTCACGGAGGCTAAGCCATTACTGATCCGAAGGTGGTAATCCCATAATCATAGGGACCGCACCGGATAGCAGTCCAGGCCCAGCCACAGGAGTCCAACCTCCCTTTAGTATTCGGAAGGCAGGATCAGGTTATTATTATTTCTTTTATTCATTAAACATGAAATTCAGTCAAGTGAACATTTAAAGATGTCACAAATACCATTGACTAATGGTTGATACGAGTTGCTGCCAGAGTCCTAGGTATCAACCAAGTACCTTCTTAAAATATATTTTGTTCCTAGTTTATTTTTTATTTTTATTATTATTATTACTATTAGTTATTGATTTAATCTTCAATTTGATTCAGTCTGGGACGGGTAAAAACTTAACAGTTCAAGTTCTAATCAAGGACCTAAGAGCTAATCAAGCATCTAAGAAACTGAGCAAGGAGAGATTCAAATAGAAATAAGGAGGAACTTTCTGACAGTGAGAATAATCAACCAATGGAACAGCTTGCCCTCAGAAGCTGTGGGGGCTTCATCACTTGAGACTTTCAAGAAGAGATTGGACTGCCATTTGTCAGAAATGGTATAGGGTTTCCTGCTTGAGCAGGGGTGGTTGGACTAGATGACCTACAAGGTCCCTTCCAACTCTTTAAATTGGTTAAATCTGGAGGTTTCTAAGAACAGATTGGACAGCCATTTGTCCAAATGGTATAGGAGGTTGGAATAGAAGACCTCCAAGGTCCCTTCCAGCTCTATTCTGTTTGATGAGCTGCTATTATTATTATTTTTTTTGTTGTTGTTGTTAATTTGTAGGCTCAGCTTGCAGTAAATTTATATTTTCAAACTGATTTTTTTCCTGAAATTAATTTTTTCCTGAAATTTCCCAATGCACATAAAATTGGTAAAGTGGTCTGGCTGCACAGACGTAAACTATGCTTGCTGAAGTACAGCGTAATATACAAAATCTGGACATTTTAGCTTTCACATCATTAAGCACATTTGCCATCACACCACTGAAGAAGAGGCACCTACATGAGAACAAGTGGAGGGACTTGGCAGTACAGAAAACTGTTTTTTGTTGAATTTAAACATCTTTTATTCAAAGCTCAGGAAAATCAATACTGTTTCTGGCCCAGTGTTTCTAAGCCGTGGCAGCTTAAAGACTTCAACTGCCAGAATTCCACCAGCCTAATGAGGTTGAGAAACATTGTTCTAACCAATCTCCCAACAAACCCAGGTTTTATTTTCTCTGTTAAGTACAGACCTTTTGAATTCCTCTAGTGGACTGGCGGTGTGGGAATGCCCTGAAGGAGAAATCGGCTCTGACTTTACGCTGTTGCTGAAGGCGTGTAGGTGCTTCAGAAGCAACCGGATAACCAAGACGTGCTCCTCGGTGGGCTTGAAAGACTCCTAGATTGAAAGCAACAGCAGGAGACAAAGACAGAGGAGGAGGAGGAGGAGGAGGAATTCAAAACAAGGTGGCGCAGTGGTTAAATGCAGCACTGCAGGCTACTGCTAGATCAGCAGTTCAGCGGTTCAAATCTCACCGGCTGAGGAAAATAAAGTTAGGTCCCCACCACAAAGGTAGTCCAGAAGTGGCACAGAAAATGCACCCGAACCAAGAACATGCATGCACACACATACTTGAACCTCATCTGGGGCAAACTGATTCCAAAAATTTGAGCTCAGAAAGAAAAATTGGCTGCTACTAAGGAGGGAGCAATTTTTGGCCAAGGGAGAGTGGATTTGGCCAGCTCTCTCTACTTCCTGGACACACAAGCCCCAGTGGATGAACAGACAAGGAGGGTCGCTGGGAAGGACCAAGTAAATCTCTGTAGAGCAAATACAAGGAAGAGGTCTTCTACGTCTCCTCACGAGCACCTTCTCTTGGCTCTCACCCACCTTCTGTTTGAACATGAGCTTGAAAGCCAATGGCCAGGAGGAAGAGGGCTCAAGGTACCTCATGCAAATGACCCCCACCCTCCCAGCCTCTCCTTGGGGCCTTGGAATTTGGCCAATTAGCAAAAGCCAACCGACTGAATTCATTTGGATACCTTCTCCTGGATCAAAATATTGTACCTACAAACTAATTTTTAGGAGGGGAAATTTACCATGTGAGGAATTCACAGGACTTTGCAAAGAAGTTTGGGGTTTTGAATAGTTCACACAGGAGAACAAGGGACCTCTGGGTCAGATAAGTTCAGGCTTATGGATTACTGCTATCATACAGCCACACCCTAACACATGGGGAGTTTGAGGTACACCTTTTCTTTTAAATATACAATCAAGATGTAAAATGTTATCAAACCTCTTTGACTTGAGCTAGCTAACCATCTCCGTGACTCAATCACATAGAACAGACCCTAAATGGTTTGGATCAGCTTTCCAGCCTTCCGAGTTCAGAAAAATGAGGATCTAGATTATTGAGGGAAATATGCTGACTCTGTAAACCGCTTAGAGAGAGCTGTAAAGAACCGTGAAGCGGTATATAAGTCTACGTGCTATTACCATCACTGCTAGCTTGTTACTATCAATTGGGGCATATCACAAGGAGGGCTGCTGTCCCTACCTCTGAGCCGCAGAGACTCTGGCATAAAGAATAAAAGGTATCCAGCATTCAGAATGGCTGGGCTCACCTACCAGACTGGGGGAAAATGAATTTGGTTTGGTTTGGGCTTAGTGTAAACAGCAATGTGGCTTGAAAACTGTGGCAGGTGAGGGGACAGAGCCCACTCTAGTACAAGCCATAAATCAGAGTTCATGGCACCGAGTGGTAGATAAAATGCTCTTTCTCAAGACAACCACAGATGTTGGCCACAGATGTTACAAAGGAAGAACTAAAGGATGCAGAGAATCTGATCCCAGCAGGATCGTCTGTGCATTCACAGGGCTTCTTCCTCAGAATCACACCAATTAGGATGGGATAGGATTGTTAGCTGTGAGCAGCTGGCTGTGGCTAGAAGTGAACTGGTATCCCTCCCATGGAGACATCTCTTGAGCCCAGAGGCCTGGGCTGCTCGCCTTCTCTTCCCTGGAGCCTCGAGGGGTGGGGGCATGTGGTGCCTTCAGCCAAACAAAGGCTGGCAGGGCCCATTTCTTGCTCTGAGCTTCTCCTAAGCTGTGGCGATTCCAGAGACTTCTTGTTGTGGCTGGGCTGCCTCCATACCACCCTAATTCTCCTGGCCTTTAATCTGGCTGGGTGGTTATCTAACACCACAGCAGCAACTATCAGTGCAGTGGAGGCTGCAGACCCTTGGCACTATCTCATGTTCCTGAGAGTCTCTGGAGAGCGACCCCCCAGTTATTGCTGCTGCCATGGGGAAAGGGGAGAGTTATTTGCCTCCTTTCTGCCTTGCAGGTTTTAGGGGCCTCCATTTCAACAGGTGTTTTACAAAGAAAATGAAATGAAAAGGTGGAAATACTTGATATGTATGGAGGGCCTGGTGGCTGGATTGGACAGGATGGATGCTGGATAAAGAGAGCCGGTAGTGGAGAACCTCCAGCTGAGAGACAACAGAAGAAGGGAGGGGAAAGCGGGGAGGGGAGGGAGATGAAAAAGGAAAGAAACAAAGAAACAAAAGTGAGAATGGACTCAGGCAGATGGGATGAAAGACAAGGGATGAGTCCCATGGAGTCAACCATTACAAAGCCAGAGCACTGTGGCAGCTGTGCCTGTAAAGGAAAACTCTGACACACCCACGTTCCTATCATAACCAGCCCTAACCATGTTCAATTTGCACCGTCCTGGCCTGGAAGTTAATCCTAGCTTGCTTCTTGCCTCTGAATATTCAAAACAGGCAGGAGGCAGAACTGTTACAAAGAAGGAAGGAGATTTCTGGAGGTCACACACGAGGGTGGGTTTCTTGGTGGGATTGGGAAAATCACTGGATCCCTCCAAGGATTTCTTGCAGGAGAAAATGCATCTACAATCATGTGAAGCCTTCCTTCAGTTAACTGTGTGACTACATAGAAAAGAAGTGAATCTCTCTGGGATTCTGAGCTGGCAGATTGTCTCAGTGACGCAAGCCTCCCAGAGCACCAGGGCCGCCAGTCACGGAAGGCAGTGGGGGACAGAAGCTGGGGCAGCACAAAAGCCTAATGAAGAACAAGCAAAACAACCCGTTGCAGCAATCAGCTGAAACCACTAACTAGAAGCAAGCGGACTGTGCAGGAGCCCAGGCACAGAAGGGAGCAGATCTTTCAAAAGCTCCTATTTTCTTAGAAAGGGCCATAAGGGCCACAGCCCTGTAGAGCAGTGCTGCAAACCTCAAAGCTTCCCAGGCAGCTCTGATTCCTCCAGCAAAGTCATCTCCCTCTCCCTCTTTCAGTAGGCAAGGAGAGGGGAAGCATCTAGCGGGGAACAACTGTTGAGGGGCTTCACTGGGACAAACGCCCTTTGATCCTGCTCAGCTTCAGTCCCGAACAAGCCATTTCCTCCTCTTCATGTCCTCAATTCCAGAGGAGTCTTAGCATGACAACATACACAACAGGAGTTGCTGGCTGGGAAAGCCTAGGACTGAGGAACAAGGTGAGACTCTAAATAATTCTGTATTTCTAGGAGTATTTCAACGTGTTTGATGGGAATGTCCTGAGATCTGAAATCTCTTTGTTCTTTGTTGCTGTTATATGGATCAAGAGAGAGACTCATTTTCTCAGCCCCCATTGCAGGCTATGGATAAGAGCATATAGCCCTATGGGTTATTACAAGAGCTGATCCTGCTGAACCCCAAAGTGCAAGGAAAATTCTGTTTCTTATTAGCAAGAAAGAGGCAAATGTTCTTCTATTTCAGGAAACTTGGAGGCAATTCCATTTGCCAGGCTTTCACTGAGCAGTCCTATTTTAACTCAAATTTAACAGAAAGATTATAGAAATGCCACGCTGTCCAATTCCTGTAACATCTCAGCTTGCAATTGCCAACTCTCTTTAGAGTTTTCCAAACATCGGCTTGGCACTAGTGGGTCTATCCCTCCGACGCTTTCCACCGCCTCTATCTAGCCCAGGGTTCGGGTTGCATGAAAAGGCTGAGCAGGAGCCACAGTGGCTCTGCCTGCACTTCCTGCTACTAACGGCTCTGCAAGGTCCAAGGAGGTGAAAGGAGGGCCACATGTTAACCTGGAGGCCTGCAGCCCTGTCAGATGCCCAAGGTTCCTTCCACCCTTCCCCACGGTCAAGCAGGTGGAAAGCAGGACTGCCAGAGACCATCTGCTCTCCTGGCCAAAGGCTGACAGGCCTTTTGGCCCTAGGATGGCTGCTGGCAGTCAGAAGGTTCTCCTCCCCCATGACTCTGTAGGGCCCCTTTTGAAGCCCTTCCAGTGGGTCTGGCAGTGAACTCCAGTGGTTACAGCAACCAAAGCCCTTCCTTTGAGCAACTCGTGCCACCCAGCCTTACCAAATCATTTCCTAATTCCAGGAAAATCTCTGCCTCATGAAGGGGGCGCAATTTCTCACTCCCCTGCAGAGAAGAGCTCCCTCCATCCCCTGACTCTGGCCAGGTCTGGCAGCTCCTTCCCTCCCACCCCCCCCAAAGGAAGCCCTGTCCCTCTGCTTACCTTGATGTGGGGAGACTGCATCTTCTGATACATGTCCAGCGAATAGTGGTGGAGCCACATCTCCACAAAGACCTGAGGAAGAAGGGACTCAATCAGGAGCTGAAAGGAACCCCAAAACAAGCCACCCCAGGGAGGGACAAAGAGGGACCGATCTGCCACATCATTCCCCATCTTTCCAAGCCTATGATTGTTTATTGCATTCCTTATTAATCATACAATTTAAGGCACACTTCAGTTTTTATGCAAGTAGGCAACACTTGCCATTAACATGGTTTTTGTTTGGCTTTTCCCCCCAATGTAAGTATAATTTGCCCCAATTATTGGCCCTAATAAGCTGAATCATACCCGCCGAAAATATATAGAATGAAGGATAGCTGTGTTTCAATTTGTGGGCCCGGTACGACTAGGATTAACTCTCCATGAAGCGCAAAGGGGCCCTCAGCTCTAAAAGAAAGGCCATGTAACCAGCAGTAGGGGCCCTGTGGCCCCAGGCGCAGTCGCTATGAGGGGGCAGCTCCCTCTGCTCTCCTGGGCCAAGAAAAGAGCCCCACGGCCACTCTTGAGGCCACTCACCTGAAGCAATGTTTCCGACCTCCAGATCTCTTGGGAAGCAGGGTCTGCATTCACCGAAGTCTGGTGAGCGACATGCCTTTTCAGAAGACTGGTGGGATGCATCCCGTAGGAGGTGAAAGGCATTGTGGGAGAGCTTTGAAAAGGAGAAGGCAGGTCAAGAGAGCATCCAGACACACCAGCGGGAGGAAATTCAAGGCCGGGGCAAGCAAGCAGTTCTCAAACCGATTGGGAACGGCTCTTCTGACACGTAACAGAACAGCTGATTCCCCTCCAGTTTTACCCACTGAAGAATACACTGACTTTGGCTCCCAATTTTAGAAATTATTTGCTAAATATTCTAGTCGGCACTATTGAAAAAGGCCAAAGAGCATGTTCAGTGTGCTGCTAAATCTCCATCATTCCTTGAATACATTTTAGTCAATTTATTTATTCCTATTTGCAGAAAATAAAAACAGGAACTATTTCAGAAATGGCCTTTTGTAGCACTGTTCCTGTTGCTGTCACTTAATCCCATTTTTATTACTTTATTGGTAACTGAAGATGGCAGACACACATAACACACTTGGTGCACTTGTAGCCTTTCGCCAACTGTCAGCATCCCACCTTGCAAATTCCTACTAGCATCCTGAAAGCCACTGGAGGCCTTTTCTTTGCAGAGTGAAGTCCTAATCTGCAACCTCATTCCACATATCCCCCTCTCCCCCCAGAACTGCCTGTTCTACAGCTGAAACCAGCAGGACAGCAAACACCCACCGGGGAGCAGGTGAAGGGACCACCCCTCCAGGCTCTGAGGAAGGGATGGGAGGGACACTCCCTTCTATGGGCAAGAACCACTTCAGGTACCGGTCCACTAGGATGAAGTAAGCGCTGTTCGACATGCTGATGGGGCAGGTGCTGGAGATGCCCTGAAGTACAAACAGAAAGAGTCGTCTTGGGCTTAAGGGGTTCCACAGTCCAATCTACAGGAGGCCAAAACTCAAGGTGCTTTAAGCTTCCTTGACACCTAGGATCGGGCAGGTAACTTTCCACCTGGAACAACAAGCCACTATTTCATCTCCATGTAAAATGACCCACTGCATGCACAAGTTTATAACCCCACCTGGTATTCACCAACAATCACCAAATGGCAACTTTGAGAAACCACAGGCCAGTGCTGAAAGTGATGGACTCCTGCAGATTAACAAAATGCAAACTTCCCTTTGATGAGCAGAAGAATTTATTCAAACTGGAAATACCACAGAGGTTTTGGCTGAGCCATGAAACAATCACAGACCTGAGTGGGTGCAATATTTCCGGCACTTTAGAACAGTAGCCCCCAACTTTCCAGCTCTGCAGACTGGCGGGGGGAGGTGGGGGAGAGGGAATGGTTTTCCGTGCACACATAGTGCGTGCGCAACCCAGTTTCCAAGAGGCCACAGACCAGTACCTGGCTGCAGACTGGGTGTTGGGGAGCCCTGCTTTAGAAGAGACCTACTGGCTTTCCCACAAGAAAATAGAGCTGATATAATGAAGTGACTTAAAAGCCCCCCCAGGTAAATCAACGGTGCTCCGGCTTCTTCTCCCCTCCTTTACTCTATCAAGAAGAAGAGCGGCCTTATCAAGGAAGGCCGACATGTACTCACCCTCTGGGTAAGGAGGCTGATGGCAAAGCAGAACATGTAATATTCATACGGATCTGGCAGGAGAGAGTCAAAGGAGCAACTTCCTCTAAGCAAGAAGGGAAAAGCAGGCCAGCTGCTATTTTATTTGACGGACCCCAGTTTTACACAGTCCTTCAGATCACGGCGACTTCATTTGTAGTGCAAAAGATTCACACGCACCTTAAGTAGCAGGAGGAACCTCCAAGAGAGCTGATCTTGCTTGCCACATCTTGACCCGCAGGAAACTTTGTGGCTTGCAAGCCGTGCCCACCCAAAGAACTCCCTTCCCCATGAAAGCAGGGAAGGAGAAAGGCTCTCTGCCTATTCAGAGGGGAGAGAGAATTCTAGTGGCCTCATAGCAGGGAACGCAACACAACGGCCTTCCCTAAAGCAGGAACAGCACAGGGATCTGCTGGTTGTTGCAAACACAGGACAGTCTTCCTTTATCAGAAAAGCAGGCAGCCATCACCCAATGCATTAGCAGGTAGCTAGCATCAAGGAAGTGTCACAACTCATCAACATTATAAGCTTAGAAAAAATTAAGTGCTAAAGAGTTGCAAGATTGCTGTGGGATAATCCCCTTTCCCTTAAAGACTTTGAGGGAACTTGCTTTGTGGTTAAAAGCAGCTGCCAATTGTCTTCCTAGTCCCAGCATGCAACTCCCTTGTCTGCAAGTTACATCCGTGCAAGAGCCAAGTGGCTGCTAAGCTCCCTGGTCAAAGCAGCAGCGAGAGAAGCATGGCGCACAAATGGGTGGTGCCAGCAAAGTTTAGGCATCTGGGGAGAAAGGCTTCTCCTCTATTACTGGCAGCAGCCACTGCCCCCTCCAACCCATCACCACACTGGCTCACTCACTGCCATGCAGGGAAACTGCTCCACACTCACAAGGCCAAAGGATACTAAGAATCAGGTTCAAATTCAGGCCCCCAGTGGGAGGGAACTGGACTTTGTTGTGATATAATGAACATTCTGGTAAAATCCGTTCTTGAATTGAAGTTTTCACTGGGCCCTGAAAGGGTAAACAATTACACACACGCCTCCTAAGATGCAATATAATGAAAATACATAATGTACAGGCTAAGGATCGCCCTTAGTTGTACTGGTAGTCTCCAGTTAACGGTGGTACTTGGGACCAGTATTTCTACTAAGCAAAGCAGTCACAAAGCACAATGTTATGTGAGACCCCACCACTTAATGATGGCAATCCCAGCACTTCCTGTTATTAATCCTATGGCACTGGCTGTGAGGGGAGGACCAGCTCTGATCCTACCGTTCTTGGTGTGGTCCCTCCGAGCCTTGGGATGGGGCTGCCCCCTCTTGAATTCCCTGACTTGCCTTATCTCTGCCCTTTTGCCTGCCCTGCACAGCCTCTCTCTTCAGCAGCTGTGGCTGTGCCAGCACTGGAATAGCAGCCCAGGGGACAGTGGCTGGCTGAGGCTGCTGAAGGCTCTGGGCTGCTACTTCAGCCCCAGTACTGCTGGCATCACCACTGTTGCCCAGTGGCACTGTGCAGAGTGGCCAAATGGGGGATGGGAGATAGGTAGGTGGAGGGGTGGGGGAATTGAAGAGCAGTTCAGAAAGTTCATCGACAAATAGAATTTCCATGCAAGGAATTAAGAACTCAAGACTGCCAAGCTCAAACCTCTGTACAGCTAGTCCTCGACTTACAACAGTTCATTCAGTGACTATTCAAAGTTACATTACTGAAAAATGTTGCATACGACCATTTTTCACATTTACAACCTTTACAGCATCCCCATGGTCATGTGAGCCAAACTGGCAACTGACTCACATTTATGACGGTCATAGTTTCCCAGTTTTGTGACCTTCCGACAAGCAAAGTCAACAGGGAAGCCAGATTACTTAAGAACCATGGTACTAACTTAAGGGCTGCAGTGATACACTTAACATCTGTGGCAGGAAAAGTCGTAAAGTGGGGCAGAACACACTTAACAAATGTCTCACTTAGCAACAGAAACTTTGGGCTCAATTGGGGTAGTAAGCCGAAGACTGGCTGTACTCAGCTCAGCCTCCCTCTAACATCACCTCCTTTCCAGATACTAACAGGAAGGTGGGAGACGGGGAACTCGTATCTGTATTCCTCCGCTTGGAGCTTGTAGACCAGCTTCATCATGGGGCCTCTGCAAAGAAAGAAAGGAAAGAAGAAAGTCAAATGGATCCCTGGGGATCTCCCACAATGATGTTTCTTTTGATGTTGTTACTGTTCTACATGGACATTGGTGTCTTTTCAACTAGCATTGTCACCTAATCAAACCAGTGGATGATTTCAGTCACAGATGTAATAAATTAGTGCCCAATTCTCCAGAAGGGGCTCCAAACGGCAAACAGGCTGACAGACAAGGTGACAGGGCTGAGCCAACTCACCCAGGGGACAGGAAGTCCAGGGCCACATTGTACTCGGTGTAGTTTGTTCTGCCTTGCAGGCAGCGGAGGTTCCACCCGGAAATGACACCATCTAAACTGCCAAAAATGTTCTCCACCAGCCAAGGGAAGACGGCATGCAGTTCCTTTGTGGAAGAGAAAAGCTGTCAGAAAAGCCACCGCTGGAACCAGAAGAACAACGATGGCTTCCCCAGACCTGCCTCTCATACCCTGAACCATTTCCTGCGCCGGGGAGATCCAGGCTCTCCTTGCTAGTGGACAGAAGAGCAATTGCAGAAGGTAGACAAATCCTGACAGTCACTTCAAACTCTGGCTTCATTTTTATTTATAATTATAATCACACACACATGCAAAGATCCTCACTTAATGACAGGCAGGATTTGGTTCATAGCAACGGTGACTGCTGGGATCCTGTTGCTAAGTGATATGTTACAACATGTCATGTTTTACAACCACATTGTTTAGGGATGGAAATTATAATGAGGACTCCCTGCATGGGTCCATGTTTGTCTTCAGAACTTCACTAAGCTCTTTCTTGGCTTTTTTCTGCTGCCCTCCCTCTTCTCCTCTTCTTTGAGAATTCCCTGGGCCCCTTTTCCCCTAGGATCCTACTGCGCTGAGTTGGCTAAAATCCACTCTTTTGAAGTCCAAGTCACCTGCTTATATTGTTCCCATTTGTTTTGACAAGCAAGATCTAAAGCACCACGGAGGTCCTTTTCTTCAAAGTTCCTGCTACTTCCACTGCCAGAAACTTTCCCCTTAGTATCACTTGAAGGATCCTTGTGATTTCCTCAACCCTCTGAAAAACAGTTTTTTTTAAAAAAATCCCTTTCTGGTTCTTTTTCATGGCCTGGAAGAGCGGATGAAAATACCACTTAAGCCTACAGGCTCTTGAGCTTATTTCTGATTCTTTGCAGTATCATTTGTCTCTGCACGCATCAGTGGAAAGCTCTAGAAATTGTTTGGTCAAGTCCCTGATCCTGCTTCCCTGCAGGGAACACTATTCAGAAGCCAATGGAGGGAGAGGGGCGGGGGGGGAGGGAATCAACCTAACTTATGGAGAATTTTTTGCAGGGTCAGTTTCTGTTCTTGTTTGCCTTGTAAGGTAGCCCAGACAAGAAACACCCCAAGAGAAACTAGTAATAACTTTACTGGCAAGGTTACATTAACAGAAGCAAGTCTGAAAGTTGCACACACTCCTCTTGCCTTCATAGTCCAAGAACCTAGGAAGGGCCCCTTCTGAGATGTCTGGCATACCTCCCCTCCCCTACTTCTGCAGGCTCAGCTGCCTCTTACCTGACCACTGTCAAGTCTGCAGTTCTGCCTCTGGTGTCCAAGCCGATTTCCACACACAATTATAGTCTTACACCTAATGAACAATTGCCCTTTCCTGCTGACTGAAGCACTGCCACTCACTGCTCCTTCCAGAACTGCTGAAAGTTTATGCTTCTTAGAAAAAGATGCTGAGTTTTTTTCAAGTAGGAAAACAAACATGGCACAAGCACTGCAGGTCATCATTAGAGATTCCTGTTTGTTCATCATTACTTTTTAAATTTAGAGCCCTGGTTTTGTTTCTCCTTCTAGTCCTTTCTCAGTCTAATTAGCCTGGTTAAATTTTTTGATTTCAAGGTAAAATATGTAAGGATCTCCTCTTAAATTCTCTCTCTGGACTTTCTAGCCAGTGTCCTTTTAGTTCTCCCTATTCCTACCTTGCCTTAGTGCAAAAGCAGTAGGGCCCGTTCCCTTGAAAGAAGAAAAAACATATTATCAGAGCCAGTGACTAGGAGCAAGCTTCCTACCTTGGCAGGAAAATCTTCAATGATTGTGATGAGATCATGGCACCTCTGAGCAAAAGGCTTGTTCAGACAGTCAGCCTTTAAATTAGCCTGTTTCAAATAGAAAAGCATATCAATCAATCAATCAAAATAGAGCTAGAAGGGACTTTGGAGGTCTTCTAGTCCAACCCCCTGCTGAAGCAGGAGACTCTATCAATTCACCTTTCTAAGATAAAGCAATGAAACTATTTAAATCTTTGGTAAAGGTTTCGTTCATATCAACACAATTGCTATATTGATTTCAACACGCAAGCAACCTGCAACTGAGAACTGTAGCAGCAATTCTATTTCTCTTAATTGAAACAGAATTTTACAAAGAATTATATTTTAATTCCACTTTTCTACAAGAAACCACTTAAGCTCTGGTAAATAAACCCTAAATATGCTGTTGGAATACAACCTAAGTCTTAATTGAGGTTTTCAACTGAGGCTTTTTTAAAAACAGTAACTCCATTGCTTGTTCCTTATAGCAGAATCAGGGTTGGTTTAAGGCAATCATACCTACAGCTTGGCAAAGGGGTAGGGGACACCATAAACGTCAAAATGTCCTGCCGATAATCCTCTGCCCGAGACCCATGTCCACTCTCCTTGTGAGCCAGCAAATGCATAAACTTTCTGCCTCCCTTTTTTACAAAGTAGAAAAGAAACACTTGACATCAGAGAAAAGTGTGCTGCTTACTTTGTCTGAAAGTAAAGGAAGAAGTGCGACCTAATATTATGCGAGAGACACAAGACAACTTTTGCTAGAAGCAGTGCTTTTTAGCTAGCTTATCTAGATGCCAAATAAAAAGCTGCATATAATTCAGAGGGGAAATGTGCCCAAGATGATGCCACAGCTTGTAGACCTGACCTGACCGGAGAAATCATGTCTTTGAAGTCTGCATCCAGGATGTAAGAGGCTGCCTCAACTCTTCAAACCTTCCTGGTGACTCACACAGATCTTTACAGACAACAAGGCCGTGGGCAAGGAGGGGGAACTGAGAGCGCAAAGACAGTTTTTGTCAATCCTTTCGGTTGTGAATAATAGCTTATGAAGGACCAGATCTTGAAAGTAACAACTGGTTGCACAGTTGCATTACTTCTCAGTGCAGCCAAGAATGGTTGCATCTTCACTATGGGTGGTGTTACTTATATGAATGGACAGGCTGCACTTTACAAAGACCAGAAAAGTGTTCTGGATCAGCAAGTGCTCCCCCAATTTCACTAGATAGATAGTAAACCAGAGCAAAAAATAAGGATGGTCAGACCCCAGACCCAAATCTGGTGCCAAACTCAATTGCCAAACATTTTGTGTTCTGAGATTAACAACATAGGAGACAAAGGGAGAAATCTGAGGGTGTGAGGAGACTTAAAAAAATACACAGGGGCCACTACTCACAATTTCAAAGGTTTCTTCAGCAATATAGACAATATGCAGAACAGAGAGAACTGGAAATCCTGACAGAGGAAACAAATAGGTTGCGGGCTTTAACTGAATCTTGTTGATATGACACTTGACTGGAACACAATCATCAAGGGTTACAATTTGTTTCTTAAAAAACAAGATTAGCAGAAAGAGGGAAGGGGGCAGGGTTGCAATGCCCATAGAAAGCAAGGCCTTTCTTGGATGATCAGCCTTCAAAGAGACACGTGGGGGGGTTTCTAGTATGAGGACTCCTTCTCTCTTGAGCTTGGCTGTTTTCTTGCAGACGTTTCATTACTCAAATTAGGTAACATCATCAGTGGTAAAAGGGAGTGAGGTTTGCTCTCTGGGACTAGCACTGATGGTGTTACCTAGCTTGGGTAATTAAACATCTACATGATAACAACCTAGCTCAGAGAACACTCAGAACCCCCAATTTCAACCCTGAGCTACAAATATTTTCCAAATGTAATTAGATTGCAATATTCCTAACATCTGCTGGGAATCCAATTCTGCCAAATGGTATATGGTCTCCTGCTTGAGCAGGGGGTTGGACTAGAAAGCTAAAAGTTTCCTTTCAAGTTCTGATTCCAAGTCTGAGGTTTGAGGAAGTTTTCTACTCTCCTGCTAACAACTTCATTTACAAAATCCTAGACCTAAATGTCAACAAAAGGCAGCCTGAATAACAAAAGAAAAACACAAGGCGGTTACCAGAAGTTATAGGAATTGTATTAGCCAAGGTTTGTGAGAAAGTATTTTGGGGGGTGCATCAGAAACAAAAGGAAAGAGGCTGTCAATATCTTGAGACAAGAAATGAATGAGCTGGTAACTTTTATTTTGCATGTAAGTTTTTTTTAGTATTTTATATGTACGAATTCTATTCGGTGCATTTTTAAGGTGAAGAAGGAAAAGGGCTTCTGCTTCATTTTTAATGTCTGAATTTTGAAAGGATATTTTTGCGGGTCCCAGGCTGCGGGTCTACTGGGGTGAATGAGAAAGAGGCTACTGGTCTGTGCTGGAAAGAGCAAATGCCGAACCGTGGGGAGAGCAGCGGAGGGAACTGGCTCCCTCCGGACCGAGAAAGAGGCGGCGGAAGGAGCCCTTCTCGGAGAGGAGACGCCAGAGAGGATTCCTTTCTTGGCCAGGAGGGCAGGCCTGAAACGGGTGGCGGAGACACAACTCGGTGCGGCAAGAGCGGCCTGCAACAGCCCCGGGCAGCTCTCCCGGCTCCAGCCTGCATTGCATAAGCCCCCCACCACCAAAGCCAGCCTGGCGGGACCGGCGGCGCGGCCGAAGAGAAGCCGGTGCTCCCGCGAGGACAGGGCCGCGAGCCTCCCCGGGCCTCTTGGGGCGCGGCTTACCAGCAGGTAGCTAGACATAGGGAAAGCCGGCGCGGCCGCCTCGGGGCTCTTGGCGCGGCTCGGCGCGACCCTCATGGCGGAGGAACGGCGCCTGGCCCTCTGCGGCGCACTGGAGAAACGTCACTGCCCGCGCGCCCCGGTGACGTCAATTGCCCGCGCGCTCCGCTTCCGTTGCCGGGAGGGGAGGGGGGAGGGGAGGGGAGAGGGATTCCCAGGGTTGGGCGGGTCGACGGCTGGGGCCTCCGCCTGCCTGGTCCTTTTCCCTTCAGCGAGCTGTTGGCGTTTCAGCCAGGTGGCCGCGTTTCCTTCTGAAGTTCGGGACATCTTCCTTTCGCCTAACTCAGTGTTTCTCAACCTTGGCGACTTGAAGTCTGGGAATTCTGGGAGTTGAAGTCCACAGGACTTCAAGTCGCCAAGGTTGAGAAACACTGGTAACTAACCAAAGCCATTTTTACAAATGGAAAAGTCTCCGTTCAGCAACAGTAGGGGGCGTATTCCGGAAGTCCCTGAATACACTGACAACAAAATTAAGAAAGAGGCTATGAACTGGAATGGCGTTTTTCTGTTGCTCAGTGCCTGAATAATTCGCTTTTTGACCTATCGTACATACCAAATGTCTGTATCATTTGTTTCTGTACCCTGGAAAATGACTTGATCCCCATTAATAAACTCTTCTTGCTTTGCCTGGATTACTTGATTTTTAATTTTGGTTAAAAAAACATCTTTGCAATGGTGTAAAAGTCTTTCTCCCAAATTCAGAGAATAGATCCTAACTTGGGCTGCCTAAGCTTCAGTGCCACAATGCCTTTGAGAGAGGCCAGGGCTGGAGTGATTAAAAGGGGGCATCTTGTAGAAAAAAAATAGAAGCATAAAATATACAGGCAATTTTGGACACACTCCTTGTTAAAAGCCTGTGTCAGACCATCACCGCACAAATTACCGGAAATCTATTGTTCTGGGGTTTCTCTCTGCTCCCTCTTGCACTCCAGAGAATCATTTTCCCAATATCCAGCAGGTCTGTGCCACTAGTAGTGGTGGAATGGCAAGACTTCTTCTCTTAAAGGAAGGGAAATCAAGATGGCCAGGTAAAGAAAGTGACCTTCATTCTTTAAAGGGTTTTTACTTGTACCAATTTAAAGTAGAATAAAATATGGATTAAAAATATAAGAATGAAGACATAGCATAAAAAGGATAGCAATAGCAATAGCAGTTAGACTTATATACCGCTTCATAGGGCTTTCAGCCCTCTCTAAGCGGTTTACAGAGTCAGCATATNATGTGCAGACAGGCAGGGGGAGGGAGCTGGAACTGGTTCTAAACGGCAGTGTAGATTTGTGAAACCTCTTCTATAGAAGAGGTTAGAACTGGCAGGAACCCACCCCTGGTATGTATGTATGTATGTATGTATGTATGTATGTATGTATGTATATATGTGTGTGTGTGTTTGTGTGTGTGTGTATGTGTGTGTGTTGCATTTGTGCTGATAAATAAATACTATATATATAATAACAACGCAGGAACAGATGATACCAAGGAGATCTGAAAGACAAATATCAGGAATATGTTAAAGCATTTGGATTAACAGCTGTTCAGCTTTAAATGGGAGGAGTGTCAGGATAATGATTTAAGAGCTGACCAGCTGCTACAATGATGTAATGCTAGGAATGAGTCAGCAAGGTTTTTGGGCTGATATCACTTTAAGAACCTGTAATAAGAAGAGGCCCTGCTGGGGCGTATCTCTCTCTCTGGGTGTGCTTCTGTGCTGTAATTGCTGATTGCTGTTTGTTTGAGGTCTGACTAAAGTATGTCTATGTATATATTCTTTGTAGATAAAACCACTAATTAAATACAAACCTCTGTTGTCTCACATAATCACACTGTGCACACTCTGCCATAACTCCATCACTCCCTCCAGGCAACTGGCAGTGCAGGTCTCAGCAAAGTGGCAGTGGCTACTCACTCCTCAGCTGGCCGATGGCCCACTGCTCCAACAGCTAAAAGAAACCCTGAAGGAAGATGACTGGCTCAGAGCTCACAATGCCAACCTGACAATGAGGGAGGACCTGGCATGGAAGGGAGACAAGCTGTATGTTCCAGCCACACAGGGGACCCAAATCCTACAAAGGAGCCACAGTGTAAAACTGGCTGGACACTTTGGGTTTGTAAAAACCATTCACCTGGCTAAAAGACAATTCTGGTGGCACAAGATGAAGAAGGACATAGAGAACTATGTAACCAGCTGCCCAGTGATTTCGTACCAATGCCAGAGTTCCCAAGGGAACCTCCTCCCTCAGTAGCAATAGCTGAATGGATGGAGACCCTGAAAGCTGCTTGGGGAAACATGCAGAAAGCCCTGAATAAGGCCAGGGAGTGGCAAAAGGGACCGGCAGATCAGAAGAGAGCCCCTCAGAAGAAGTTCAGAATTGGGGAGAGAGTTTACCTGTCTACAAAATACTTAAAGCTGAACCAACCTTGTAAGAGACTGGGTCCTAAGTACATAGGTCTGTTCCCAATTGTTCAAATCATAAACCCGGTTACTATGGAGTTACAGTTGCTGTGATGACCCGGGGTGTGGCATGAAAGCAACACAACCAGAGAACAGGACTAACTCCCCTTTATTGCTTCAACTGTGCCCCCAAACATTCCCACATTCACTACAAGTCCTGGAGCAAAGCTCTCACACGGACCTTCAGAAGCCTCTGGCTGCAAGTAGTCCAGTAAGCCAGGTTAACCAAACAGCAACTAGGGTCATCAGTCCAATAAACCAGGTTAATCAAACAGCAACCAGGTCCATCAGTCCAATAAGCCAGGTTAGCTAAACAGTAACCATAGCAAGTAGTTCAGAGAAGCAGGCAAACTGCCAAGCACCACAAGACAAAGTACAGCAATCTCCAGGCTTTGGCAAGTGCACACAAGGCTCCACAGATTCAACGTTTGTTCCCGACAAATGCCTCTCCCACTGGCACCTCCTTACATCTCAGTCCCCAGGTGAGCCTTGTGAAAGGGGGCAGGGCACTCTCCTCCCTCGTAGCCAGCCCAATCTGTGTTGATCTCACCATCTCTCGTCCCTCCTTGCTCTCGGATCTTGCTCTTCTCTTGAGCTCTCTCTGTCTGCAGGCCTTACTAATTAGAGAAAAGCCTTGCCTGGACTGACTCTGCCCTTCCCCAAGGCCAACAGAGCCGGCCTCTCCATCTCTTTCAGTTCTCATTCCAGCTCATCTCCCCCCACAGATTCAAACTCCAACAGGGGCATGACAGTTGTCTAAGGTACTCAGGCGAGTACACCCAGTGTTTCACTGTAGCTTATTGAAGGCTTCCAAGGCTCCAAGTTAAGGTCAGTCAAGGACAGGCCACTACCTCCTGTGATGGGGGTGGGAACACTGTGAAATAAAGAGGATATTGGACTCAAGATACTTTAAGGGGAAATTACAATATTTAGTGTAGTGGAAAGGATATCCCTCAGCCGATGCAGAGTGGGTAGGTGCCCAAAACATTAGTGCAGATAAGTTAGTAGAAAGGTTCCATACAAAATACCCCAAGTGACCAAGGAGATTAGTGAAGGCTAAAACCACCTAAGCAACAATAATTAATCTGTTTAATATTTCCCAAGTGCCCTTTTCCCTCAGGGGGGTCCACATGTCAAGATTCAACTACTTTGCTTCTTTCACTTGCACCATGACTTTTAGCAGCCAGCTTGAGTTCTGACCAAATTGAAATGGCAAAACTTTTTTTCTTTAATTTTATGAGTTTTTGTATTCTCTTTTTATATGCAGCATCTCAGCTTGTATATGGGCAGTAGGACTCCTCTGAGCGAGTCTCATGGCTGACTTCAATTTATTTTTCAACAACTGGCATTCAAAATCAAACCAGTGAGATCTACCCACTCGAAAACTTTTGGCAGGAAGGTTAGTTATTAAATGTTTCTGCAGCATATTGCAAAGATTAAAGAATGCTTTGGAGGCTGACAGCCAGTTGGTAGTAGATGACTGGATTGTTCTAGCCCAGTTAGCAGCGTTCTCTGTTTTAAGACTTTCTGATATTGCCTTTGTATCAACTTTAGCCGAAATCAACCTTTTAATTTGGGCCACCTCTAAGTTTTTAGTGAGCTATCTGTTGGCTGTATTATATGATTTTAAATCTGAGCAACCTTGTAATGTTACACTCACAGTCTGATGATCACTTTCATCACCTAAATGTACAGTAACCTCTGAAAAGAGGTCAACTTTATCTCTTCATACGCAGAAGAGGTCTAGCATGATACTTGAGTAGGCTGAGTGGTATGTGTAAGGGTATATATAGTTGTTATCCTTACCTCCCAAGATTTGAAGATTACCTTTGAAAATTAAAGAGACTAGGAGCTGTGGATGATTATCAAGAAATTCCTTTGGGAATCCTTTCTTTTGAGCAAACTCATGCAAAGATGAACCTAATTTAGCATTAAAATCTCAAAGCAGTATAATTATAGATTGAGGATACAGTATGGATATATCATTTAGTATTAAAGTAGGACGTAAAGTGAGATTTGGACATTAAGTGTGAAACCTACTGGGTCAGGCTGGACAGCCTCTTGGGGCCACTTTACTTCTATATTAAAAAGCCACATAGGCAGAGTTGCAGCTTGCAAAAGAACAGGAAGCAAGTGCCTAACCACAAGATGTTTCAGCCAACGTCCCTATGTCAAAAGTCCAAACCACAAGGTTCAGATAACGTTCATTAATGACACGTAGTCCATACCTGTAAGAAAAGGAGAAGTAAGACCCCATCTCCTTATAAGGCTTTCTCCTCAAGGTAACCAATAAGAAATGAGTTAAGTGTTTCTGTGTTATGCTGCCTTTGAGAATGTATAAGAACGCGTGCTTTGATAATGAAGGTTGTTCAGAACTTGCAATGCTAACCATGGGCTAGCTTTCTGAACCTGGCTGCCAAATAAACTTTTCCTGTATCCTGCGCTGAGGTGGCGCAGTGGTTAGAGTGCAGTGCTGCAGGCCACTTCAACTGACTGCTATCTGCAGTTCAGCGGTTCAAATCTCACCGGCTCAAGGTTGACTCAGCCTTCCATCCTTCCGAGGTGGGTGAAATGAGGACCCGGACTGTGGGGGCAATATGCTG